AATGTATAGTGTCCATCAAGTTTCTGTTAGTTTTTTTATCACGTTTTTTTTGCCTCCTCCTCCTCCTGCGTTTACATGGTAACCAGGGGTGCTTTGTGTGTCTGACAGCCACATATACACTAAAACGCAATAGCCTAATTGCTGCTCATAATGTTTTCTATTAATACACACATGCAATCAAACTTTCAAACAAATGGTTGGACATACAGTGGGGGAAAAAAGTATTGTCAGCCACCAATTGTGCAAGTTCTCCCACTTAAAAAGATAAGAGAGGTCTGTAATTTTCATCATATGTACACGTCAACTATGACAGACAAATTGAGAAGAAAAAAAATCCAGAAAATCACATTGTAGGATTTTTAATGAATTTATTTGCAAATTATGGTGGAAAATAAGTATTTGGTCACCTACAAACAAGCAAGATTTCTGGCTCTCACAGACCTGTAACTTCTTCTTTAAGAGGCTCCTCTGTCCTCCACTCGTTACCTGTATTAATGGCACCTGTTTGAATTTGTTATCAGTATAAAAGACACCTGTCCACAACCTCAAACAGTCACACTCCAAACTCCACTATGACCAAGACCAAAGAGCTGTCGAAAGGACACCAGAAACAAAATTGTAGACCTGCACCAGGCTGGGAAGACTGAATCTGCAATAGGTAAGCAGCTTGGTTTGAAGAAATCAACAGTGGGAGCAATTATTAGGAAATGGAAGACATACAAGTCCACTGATGGAAGACATACAAGTCCCTGTTGTCTGGACCTATGGCAGTCTCTATGGGGGTGCCACAGGGTTCAATTCTTGGGCTGACACTTTTCTCCGTGTATATCAATGATGTCGCTCTTGCTGCTGGTGACTCTCAGATCCACCTCTACGCAGACGACACCATTTTGTATACATCTGGCCCTTCATTGGACACTGTGTTAACAAACCTCCAAACGAGCTTCAATGCCATACAACACTCCTTCAGTAGCCTCCAACTGCTCTTAAACACTAGTAAAACTAAATGCATGCTTTTCAATCGAACGCTGCTGGCACCCGCCCACCCGACTAGAATCACCACTCTCGACGGGTCTGACCTAGAGTATATGGACAACTACAAATACCTAGGTGTCTGGTTAGACTGTAAACTCAACTTCCAGACTCACATAAAGAATCTCCAATCCAAAGTTAAATCTAGAATCGGCTTCCTATTTCGCAACAAAGCCTCCTTCACTCATGCTGCCAAACATGCCCTCGTAAAACTGACTATCCTACCGATCCTTGACTTCGGCGATGTCATTTACAAAATTGCCTCCAACACTCTACTCAGCAAATTGGATGTAGTCTATCACAGTGCCATCCGTTTTGTCTCCAAAGCCCCATACACTACCCACCACTGTGACCTGTACGCTCTTGTTGGCTGGTCCTCACTACATGTTCGTCGTCAAACCCACTGGCTCCAGGCCATCTATAAATCACTGCTAGGCAAATCCCCGCCTTATCTTAGCTCATTGGTCACCATAGCAGCACCCACCCGTAGTCTGCGCTCCAGCAGGTATATCTCACTGGTCATTCCCAAAGCCAACACCTCCTTTGGCCGCCATTCCTTCCAGTTCTCTGCTGCCAATGACTGGAACGAATTGCAAAAATCTCTGAAGCTGGAGACACTTATCTCCCTCAATAACTTTAAGCATCAGTTGTCAGAGCACCTTACCGATCACTGCACCTGTACACAGCCCATCTGAAATTAGCCCACCCAACTACCTCATCCCTATATTGTTATTTATTTTGCTCTTTTGCACCCCAGTATCTCTATTTGCACATAATCTCTTGCACATCTAGCATTCCAGTGTTAATACTATTGTAATTATTTTGCACTATAGCCTATTTATTGCCTTACCTCCATAACTTGCTACATTTGCACACACTGTATATATATTTTCTGTTGTATTTTTGACTTTATGTTTTTTACCCCATATGTAACTCTGTGTTGTTTTTATTGCACTGCTTTGCTTTATCTTGGCCAGGTCGCAGTTGTAAATGAGAACCTGTTCTCAACTGGCTTACCTGGTTAAATAAAGGTGAAATAAAAAAATTAAAAATGGATAATCTCCCTCGATCTGGGGCTCCACGCAAGATCTCACCCTGTGGGGTCAAAATGATCACAAGAACGGTGAGCAAAAACCCCAGAACCACACGGGGGGACCTAGTGAATGACCTGCAGAGAGCTGGGACCAAAGTAACAAAGCCTACCATCAGTAACACACTACGCCGCCAGGGACTCAAATCCTGCAGTGCCAGACGTGTCCCCCTGCTTAAGCCAGTACATGTCCAGGCCCGTCTGAAGTTTGCTAGAGTGCATTTGGATGATCCAGAAGAGGATTGGGAGAATGTCATATGGTCAGATGAAACCAAAATATAACTTTTTGGTAAAAACTCAACTCGTCGTGTTTGGAGGACAAAGAATGCTGAGTTGCATCCAAAGAACACCATACCTACTGTGAAGCATGGGGGTGGAAACATTATGCTTTGGGGCTGTTTTTCTGCAAAGGGACCAGGACGACTGATCCGTGTAAAGGAAAGAATGAATGGGGCCATGTATCGTGAGATTTTGAGTGAAAACCTCCTTCCATCAGCAAGGGCATTGAAGATTAAACGTGGCTGGGTCTTTCAGCATGACAATGATCCCAAACACACCGCCCGGGCAACGAAGGAGTGGCTTCGTAAGAAGCATTTCAAGGTCCTGGAGTGGCCTAGCCAGTCTCCAGATCTCAACCCCATAGAAAATATTTGGAGGGAGTTAAAAGTCTGTGTTGCCCAGCGACAGCCCCAAAACATCATTGCTCTAGAGGAGATCTGCATGGAGGAATGGGTCAAAATACCAGCAACAGTGTGTGAAAACCTTGTGAAGACTTATAGAAAACGTTTGACCTGTGTCATTGCCAACAAAGGGTATATAACAAAGTATTGAGAAACTTTTGTTATTGACCAAATACTTATTTTCCACCATCATTTGCAAATAAATTCATTAAAAATCCTACAATGTGATTTTCTGGAAAAAAAATTCTAATTTTGTCTGTCATAGTTGACGTGTACCTATGATGAAAATTACAGGCCTCTCTCATCTTTTTAAGTGGGAGAACTTGCACAATTGGTGGCTGACTAAATACTTTTTTCCCCCACTGTATTTGGACCAAATGCATTCCAAAGTTGATCAGGGCTGTCACTTGAATGTACCCCTTAACCCCTATACATTAAAGCATTATGAAATCATTCAATCAATTAACAGTCATCTTACTATAAAAGGTTTTTATTTTACAGCAGGCCTATCTCATTCTATCTGTGACCGTGTAAAATGTGATCCTTCTGTTCCTTTACATTTAAGAAATGTTAAAATCTTTAAACAACTTACACTAATAGACTAAATATAACATTTTGTAGTAACAATTACAATACTAAAGAACTATACATACTGTATATTTGTTTTTATATGTTGGAGTGCATTCTTATAGATAAAGCACTAAGAAGCTATGATCAAGTAAACCAATACAACTGCAATTTTATAATACAAAATCTAAGCGAGATTGAAGCGCGTATAATCTTACCACAAGAAGCAACTATCCATTGGTATGCTTTACAACTGAATATTTTCAAGAGGACACAGCTGACTTGATAAGTTACCCAAAATCAATGTCAACACACAGCTCTTCCACAAGCATCTGTAAGATGAGTTTTAAAACGTATAAATAGTTTCACATTCTAAATATATAAACATTTACTGATATTACAAACATACCATCCGAGTGAAAGAAATGAGATGGCTTAACAGTATTACAAACTTTGAAAACATACACAAGTATATTTCCATTACAATGACACAGCGACCTCAGAAAACATTTTTAAAAATATCATCACACACACAGTATGGAAAACAGAATCTTATCTTCATAGCATCCTGTGTGAACCAAACATGTCTCAGGATTTCATAGAATGTGTTTAAACTTATGTCATAACATTACAGTCGCCTACAATCAAACCCACCTCATAATGTAAAATATTGTACACAATCTTAGAATCTCCTGAAGATGCCTTATCAGTAAACAGTAAATATGAATGCAGAGAACTGGAAAACGACTTTGATTGGCACAATAAAAACCATGTTGCAAAGTATTGCATACAGCTCAAATACCCAATCTTCAATCTCCATCTTCCTTGGGGCCCTGTATGCAATGTCTGAGACACCTAATACTGCTTATATACTTTACTGTAGCCTACCCTGCAGTTCATAGAGAGAGTTTGTTTCTTATCAGAGAGCAAATGTTTGAAATGCAATGAGGTTAGTAGGAAAAGTACTGGTAAGCTGAGGCGAGTGCTTCTTATTGAGGACTAAGTCTTTATGAAAAAAGGCAAAGAGAGTCTTTTGATCCAGCTGCGTCTGCTACACATAATAATATGAGCTCAACTGCACATGTACAGTATTGGACCAAACAGGCAGTGCATTGTGGGATCTTGGTCCCTGTATCTTACCGACATCATAGGGTAAGATCCAAGCACCTTATACACAGCATTCCCTCCATTTGTCTCATAGGCTATTAAAATGCACAACAATAGCGAAACAAAATCATTTAGCTACAGCCTTCAATGTGATTGACAGCTTTGCTTAATACGTTTGGTACAAGAGCCAGGTAGTTTTGGCACTGTTCCCAGTCTCAAAGTGTGCAGAAAGGTTGGTGGGGACTCACAGCCCTTGAGAAACATGATTGCTACTGGATTATTCCATGAATTTTTATTTTCTCTCACTCCCCCAACTCCCCCATGACGTAAAATGTCTTGTATATAATCCAAGCAAGCGAATGACAGAGCAAATGGAGAAATGTATAAGTAAATAAGCAAATAAATGATCAAATCTGTGATGTTACATTTTAGTAACATGGTGTGTGTGTGTGTGTGTGTGTGTGTGTGTGTGGTGTGTGCGTGCGTGTGTGTGTGTGCGTGTGTGTGTCAGTGCCTGGTGGCTCTCACAGTGTCGAGGAGCTCCGTCTGAAATCCTGGAGGATGACGGAGGAGTAGGCAGAGCTCGGGGGGCTGCAGAGGACCAACTCAGAGATGGGGGAGCCGGGAACCGACCCGGCAGAATACACTGAGTCCCTGAAGGGGGAGGGGGGAGACAGAGCCAAGGAGTCCTCCAGGGTCAGCTTACTCTGAGCCAGCTCCTCTTCTCCCTCCTCCTCATCATCCTCCTCTGTGTAGCTGTGTAGGAGGTCCAATGCCTCCCCCTCAGCCCCCTCCAGGGGCGAGATGAGGTCATCCTCTCCAAAAGAAGCCCCACCTTGCAGAGGACAGGAAAGCTGAGAGAAGGTGAAGCCTAGGGGTTGGTTGGTGGAGCTGGCCTGGATGCCGGAGGCACCCATTGTGTCGTTAAATCCAAGGATATTGGAGCTGTGCGTGTCCACCATCACCCCCTGCAAGCGCTCGGTGGTACAGTGCGTTAAGTGAGAATAAGAGGGTGGCTCCTCCGAGTCCTTCCCGTGGAGCGTTCCAGAGTGGGAGTGGGGGGGAGTCCAGAGAGGGCGTGCTTCCCCCCCTTCGTCCTCCTCCTCCGCCAGGTTGTACAGAGCCTTGGTGCCGGGGTGGGGTAGGTGGGAGTCTGTGCCAGGACTGTGGTGTTGGTGGTGTGGGTCACAGCTGTGGGGGTCGACGGGGGCGTTAGTTAGGGGCCTGATGACCGCCGTCTGATTCGAGCCGGCTTCCTGTTTCCTCACATGCACAGACAGTCTGTGCCACACATTCCCCCCCCTCTGAGGGTGTCTTGCACCTGGTTCAGACCATGACACAGACTTGCCATTAGAACTATGAACGAGATGAAGACTGCCGTTACTAACAGAGACAACCCGGGGGAAGGGTTAGTGAACAACAACAACACATAGCACAATAGAACAGAACAGCAGCATTTCAACATTTCTATACGCATGTTAAAATACGCTTAAGACATTTTAACAACATTATTAACAGGCAGCAGTGATGTGCTTCATTCGTTAGCTCTAAGTGGCATTGCATTGACTAATCTGGGCACTTACAGTAACTACAGTGCATTCGGAAAGTATTAAGACCCCTTGACTTTTTCCACATTTTGTTACGTTACAGCCATATTCTAAAATGGATTAAATTGTTTTTCCCCCCCTCATGAATCCACTACACACAATACCCCATAATGACAAAGCAAAAACAGTTTTTTAGAAATTTTAGCAAATTTATATAAAAAATGAAGAACTGAAATATTACATTTACATTTTAGTCATTTAGCAGACGCTCTTATCCAGAGCGACTTACATTTACATAAGTATTCAGACTCTTTACTCAGTACTTTGTTAAAGCACCTTTGGCAGCGATTACAGCCTCAAGTCTTCTTGGGTATGCCGCTACAAGCTTGGCACACCTGTATTTGGGGAGTTTCTCCCATTCTTCTCTGCAGATCCTCTCAAGCTCTGTAAGGTTGGATGGGGAGCGTCGCTGTACAGTTATTTTCAGGTCTCTCCAGAGATGTTTGATCGGGTTCAAGTCCGGGCTCTGGATGGGCCACTCAAGGACATTCAGAGACTTGTCCCAAAGCCACTCCTGCATTATCTTGGCTGTGTGCTTAGGGTCGTTGTCCTGTTGGAAGGTGAACCTTCGCCCCAGTCTGAGGTCCTGAGCACTCTGGAGCAGGTTTTCTTCAAGGATCTCTCTGTACTTTGCTCCGCTCATCTTTGCCTTCGCCCGCTTGGCATTCAGGCCAAAGAGTTCAATCTTGGTTTCATCAGACCAGAGAATCTTGTTTCTCATGGTCTGAGTCCTTTAGGCGACTTTTGGCAAACTCCAAGCGGGCTGTCATGTGCCTTTTACTGAGGAGTGCCTTCCGTCTGGCCACTCTACCATAAAGGCCTGATTGGTGGAGTGCTGTAGAGATGGTTGTCCTTCTGGAAGATTCTCCCATCTCCACAGAGAAATCTGGAGCTCTGTCAGAGTGACCATCGGGTTCTTGGTCACCTCCCTGACCAAGGCCCTTCTCCTCCGATTGCTCAATTTGGCCGGGCAGCCAGCTCTAGGAAGAGTCTTGGTGGTTCCAAACTTCTTCCATTTAAGAATGATGGAGGCCACTGTGTTCTTGGGGACTTTCAATGCTGCAGACATTTTTGCTCTGACATGCACTGTCAACTGTGGGACCTTATATAGACAGGTGTGTGCCTTTCCAAATAAAGTCCAATCAATTAAATTTACCACAGGTGGACTCCAATCAAGATGTAGAAACATCTCAAGGATGATCAATGGAAACAGGATGCACCATAGCAAAGGGTCTTAATACTTATATAAATAAGGTATTTCTGTTTTCTAAAACCTGTTTTCGCTTTGTCATTATGGGGTATTGTGTGTAGATTGAATACCATTTTTTACTCATCAATCAATTTTATGATAAGGCTGTAATGTAACAAAATGTGGAAAAAGTCAAGGGGTCTGAATACTTTCCCAATGCACTGTAAATACTTAGTGATTCATAATTTCATAATGTGCTGTTTGAACAGCATTATGAACCGTAGATGGCTGAATTCAAAGTACTTTGAGCCATCCACCAAATGTAGACCTGCCTATCTACAGTAAGTGCTTATCAAGCTGAGATGGGCAACATGCACTTGTGAAAATGTTCTGGTGCCTGTACTCTCTGACACAAGGTAATAACACAATGTTATAGTGCTGTGCATAGCAGGATAGGTTAGGTTTGTCTCTCTTATGTGATTAGTGAGGGAGACAAAGAGGCTTTCATGCTTCGAACTGGGATAAATGTGAGGACAATTCAGGCTAAACTAAAATCACCTAAACCAGGGGTGTGCACATCTCCTTCCCTTGAAGGCTGCAGAGTCTACTGGCTGTCATGCATACCTTGTAATCACCAACCAGTCTGGAGCTATGAAGAAAGATTAGTAGACCCTCCTCCTACTAACCACTGAGACATTATTTTCCAAAGACACTGCAGACTTCAAGGACAGGAGTTTGCCAAGTCCTGTGTCTAAACATGATCCTGTCAGAGTCAACCTCTGTCCATTGGAAGAGGTTAAGTGGGACATATTAGAGCAAGGGTGAGAGACAACACTCAAAGACAACATTCTCTCATCCCCCGTCTCAATCCTTACTTTGTGTCTTTGCTGAATATCTATCACATTTTATTTTGGATTATCTACCAAGGAAGTGTATAGTCAAGCACACCTCATAATTCATCAAATGTGGGCAGAAAAAACAGTAGAATGACAGAATAGGGCATACAAATTCTAATTCTCCAAAACATATGTTTATTGTAGTTACAAGACAACTTTAGGATCCAAACGAGTGTGCAGGCCCTATTCTATCCTTCTATATGCCCTCATCTCTAGACCCTGATTTCTGAACATCACTGAAGGTTACTCACTTGGTGCTTCCGTTTCCGTTTTTCTTCCTACGGAACATGTTGAGAATGCTCTTGCTCTGCTGAGCCGCCTTGCCGTCTCCCACATGCATCCTGACTACATCGGACGTGGTGAATGCGCTCCTCACGTTCCTCTCCGGCTTGGCGATGATGATGTACATCTTGGGCGAGAACATGCACCCCAGCGCCACGGTGACACTCAGGCTCACTGAGAAGGATGTGGTGATGATCTTGTAGTTGGAGCCGAAGTAGATGGGCACGAAGGCCAACCAGATGATACAGGTGGTGTACATGGTGAAGGCGATGTACTTTGCCTCGTTGAAGTTGGCCGGAACGTTGCGCGTCTTGAAGGCGTAGTAGGTGCAGCTCATAATGAGCAGGCCATTGTAGCCCAGCGGCGCCACCATGCCCACCGTGCTGGTGTTGCAGATGAGGTAGACCTCGCGGATGCTGGGGTAGTACTTGATGGGCATGGGCGGCTCCAGGATGATCAGGGTTATCTCCAAGATGAGCTGCAAGCTGATGAGGAAGAAGGAGATGACTACTTGGGCCCAGGCCGACATGAAGTGGGGCTTCTTGGTGCAAATCTTCTTCTTGCTGCCGGCCAGGATGCGGGCGATGCGGTTGGTTTTGGTGACCAGGGCGGAGTAGCACATGGCAGCCGAGAGACCCACTAGGAGGCGCTGCAGGTAGCAGGAGGTCACGGTGGGATAGGCAATCAGGGTGAAGGGGCAGATGTATCCCAGTAAGACACCCACCAGGATGATGTAACACAGCTCACGGCTGGACGACTTGACCACGGGTGTGTCGCGGTACAGCATGAAGATTAAGGTGACCCAGAGGGTGACCAGGATGCCCACGCAGGACAAACACACTGCCACAATGGACTCCACATCTGACCAGTCAAGGTACTTCAGAGGCAGGGGCACACAACCTGCAGAGGACAGAGGAAAGGAGAGATGCTATTGTTGCCTATATAATTATTGAAGCATGTAAATTTTGGAAAAGTAATAGGAAGGACTGTAAATGGAGAAGAGGGGAACATGGGTATACTGAAGAGAGGGGGAGTAGATGAAGGCAGATGACTAGTGAACAGATTTAGAAATGGGGGAAGTCAAGAGGTATATAGGGAAGATCATAGCCCTTCAAAGATGGCCTTAAATTACTCAAGAACACACACACACAACACACACACACACACACACACACACGCTCCAAATCTGTCAGATTTTCCTCTCATGCTTATGCTGCAGTGTAAAGTGTGACTGTGTGTGTCTGTGTGTGTCTGTGTCTTGGTGTGTGGCTGTCCATCATGTTGCATTGGTGGTGATTTGTCATCTGACACACACTTAGACTCGCAAGGGCTTAATGAGAGAAAAGTGACATCCCCAGAGTCATCTTAAAACCCCTGAATTACACAGCACTCCTAACTAATAGCATTACAGTCAGCGCCACCACAGGCAATGCCTGCCTACGTATATGCCATCACAACCAGTATCATTTAGTCCTCATAAACCAAATCACAAGTATGTATAAAATTACTAGTTAGCTAACTTAACGCAAAATCTCATCTGGATATAAGGTATGCTTCCCCAATCGAAAAGCAAGAGATTGAAGTTGTGCTTGGTTTATCCCATGTGCTTGTATGAATAATATCTTAACTGTACTAAAATTAGATCCTGAGAAATGTGTCCATGTGGAAGCTTCACTGCTGAGTGAAGTTATCTCTATCCCCTTGGCCACCAAGCTTAGTTTATCAAGGCATCAGGCTCACACACTGCCAATGGACAAGGGTGGCAAAGATGAAATGCACTTATCTTTATCCTCTCTCTCACAAAGCTTCAAATCCCTTATTCCTCTTCCCTACACAATCCTGTCAGAGCTCTAAGTAGACCTCTGAATAATTCAAACATGATGTATAACAGACTCACTCTCTCCTCACTCCTCAAGCCACAACACCTTCCCTTCTAGGCACACTGGTGCAAAACTGGTTTCCCCAGTAACCAGGAATGACAGAGTTATGGGAACCAAAATGACAAGTGATTAAAAAAAGCCACCTTTCCACTTGGATCTGATTATGATATTCCCAGACATGCATAATGAATCATAGGAAAGAGGGGAATTTAATCTCTGACAACAAACTGTTGGAAATCTATCAGAGGCCTCTCAATGAGCTAATTATATTTTCCACCTGACAGGGAGAAGGAAGGAGAGCTCCCTTCAGCTCGGTTCGAATCGCTGTCAAAACAACACCTGGGTCATGACCAATGTTCCCGCTAAACTGCCGGACTGCGGCGCAGAATAAATGCCATGCTGCGCAGAGACGCAAGAGAATGAACTTCGTCCCATTAGTTTGCACTATATGGATCAACGTTTTTTTCTGTTATCGAATCAACATTATATCAGTCCCAAAACAAAACAAATCTAACTTTGCAAGATTGAGTCTGTGATTGTGTTGTAGGTAGAGCCAGAGCGCAACGGAGTATAATTATATTTGCGGGGGTAGCCCATGAGCGGTCACCCGCGTGTGAAAGCACGTTTCAGATCAGTTCAGATCAGAGTGGTGCGGCACGTGTTCACATTTGTTGATATTATTTGCTAGTTAGAGAGTTATTAGCCCAGTTATAGATAAGTATAGGTCAGCAATGGGGAGTTACTGCTTCCTACAAGAGCACAAAATGTGTAGGCTACATTTCAAGCTGTCTTTAAAAAGCCAGTCATGGGGCGGCAGGTAGCTTAGTGGTTAAGAGCGTTGTGCCAGTAACCGAAAGGTCGCTGGTTCTAATCCCCGAGCCGACTAGGTGAAAAATCTGTCGATGTGCCCTTGAGCAAGGCACTTAACCCTAATTGCTCCTGTAAGTCGCTCTGGATAAGAGCGTCTGCTAAATGACCAAAAATAAAAAAATAAATAAAAAGCTTGTCTTAATTAAAGGGGCAGTGTTGTATTTAGAGACAGTCTTGAATATGCAAATAAGCCCATAGGCAGAGGGGTAGCCTACATTGTCTAATTCTCTGTATGGTAATAATAATGCATTTTATTTTGTAAAGTGGTTTCTTGTGCGATACAACACAATACAATGCAATTTACAGTCACCTATGTGGCCCATGGTGTTGCAGACCAAGTACATAAAATCATGAATTAATGTCAAGCCCTTTATAATGTAAAAATTATTTTTAAAGACTCATGCAATGTAGGCCTGCATTGAACACCACATATAGGCTACTGTAGGCTATATCATAGAAATCAAAAGCTATTTCCATGTGCATGTTATGGCATTTGCTCCATTGGTTTTGTTGGTAGGCCTACATTATGCTCAAATACCCACAATAGCCTACTGTCTAAAACTGTAAGGGTACAGCCTCAGTGTTCACTGTAAACGCTAGCCGGAAGTTGCAAAAATGTCTCACAATGTTCAAGTTTCTGCTTACGAGACCTACATTTTGCTCAGTGCCCCCCAAAATTTGAGGGAACACTGGTCATGGCAACAATGAGAAAACGGGAAGACAGTGGAGAGAGAGAGATGAGTTGAGAAGGAGAGAGGGGGGGAGGCACCGAGAGGGGGAAGGTTAGACAGAGAGACTGAAAGAAAGCAGATGAGAGAGGGAGGTGAGATGAAAGGAGAGAACAGTTGGGGAAGGCATAGTCAGTGTTTCCCCTAGGATTTTTTTCAGCAGCTGTGGCAAAGGTAGCGGTGGGGAGGGGACATTTTTTGTAGAACGACTGTAAGAAGGTCCGTTTTGGTGACTTTAAAAAAGAAAATTATACTCAAAAATGCAGAAAACCATCTGAAATATAACTGAACTGCACTGTTGTGTGCTTCTGGCTATCATTTGAGCCACTGCTCACTCTATTTTGCTACAGATATATGTTGAAACGTCACTGATCTTAAAAGGGTTAGTGCGAGATTTTGGCAATTAAGCCTTTTTTCTATTTACCCAGAGTCAAATGAACTCATGGATACCATTTGTATGTCTCTTTGTGCAGTTTGAATGAAGTTGAAGGTAGTTTCGTGAGCCATTGCTAACTAGCGTTAGCACAATGCCTGGATGTCTATGGTACCAGCTAGCATGCTAGCTGTCCCATAGACATTCAGTCATTGCGCTAATGCTAGTTAGCAACTTATTTCAAACTGCACGCAGAGACATAAAAATGGTATCCATGAGTTCATTTGACTCTGGGTAAGTAGAACAAGGGATGAATTGCTCAAATCTGGCACTATCCCTTTAAAAGTGGATCTTGGCAGAAATATCATAGACATATTTTTTTATGTATCTATCATACTTTTTGGAGTGGCGGCAACGATTTAGCAGCGGCGGGGCACTGCTGCTAAATGAATATAGGGGGAAAAAATAGTATATGGCGGAGAGAGTCATGTCTTTTGGTGATAGAGTGACACAGATAGAATAAAGGGCTATAGAAATCAGTACATTAGCAAGGAATGGGGAAGAATAGACAGATATTTGCAGTCCCTTCACAGGGAGAACAAAGCAGTGTGCAGGTTGCAGGGAGTTGGGGACTGGGATTTAGAAAAAAACTTGGGAGATAACTGTCAGTGTGTGATGGTGGATTGGGAGACTAGTGAGGTGAGTGTTGGAGGACATGAGGGCAGGGGGGCAGACATGCAGGTTAGAGAAGATGGTAGGGTTAAAAGGGGTACGAGCTGGGGGAGCTACAGCCAGGTAGAGGCAGTAGTCAGTCTTCATGGCATATACAGTGTCTTGCAAAAGTATTCATCCCCCTTGGCGTTTTTCCTATTTTGTTGCATTACAACTTGTAATTTAAATGGATTTTTATTTCAATTTCATGTAATGGACATACACAAAATAGTCCAAATTGGTGAAGTGAAATGAAAGAAATAACTTGTTTAAAACATTTCTAAAAAATAAATAATGGAAAAGTGGTGCGTGCATATCTATTCACACCCTTTGCTATGAAGCCCCTAAATAAGATCTGGTGCAACCAATTACCTTCAGAAGTCACATAATTAGTTAAATAAAGTCCACCTGTGTGCAATCTAAGTGTCACATGATCTGTCACATGATCTCAGTATATATACACCTGTTCTGAAAGGCCCCAGAGTCTGTAACACCACTAAGCAAGGGGCACCACCAAGCAAGCGGCACCATGAAGACCAAGGTGCTCTCCAAACAGGTCAGGGACAAAGTTGTGGAGAAGTACAGATCAGGGTTGGGTTATAAAAAATATCCTAAACTTTGAACATCCCACGGAGCACCATTAAATCCATTATTTAAAAATGGAAAGAATATGGCACCACAACAAACCTGCAAAGAGAGGGCCGCCCACCAAAACTCACAGACCAGGCAAGGAGGGCATTAATAAGAGAGGCAACAAAGAGACCAAAGATAACCCTGAAGGAGCTGCAAAGCTCCACAGCGGAGATTGGAGTATCTGTCCATAGGACCACTTTAAGCTGAATACTCCACAGAGCTGGGCTTTACGGAAGAGTGGGCAGAAAAAAGCCATTGCTTAAAGAAAAAAATAAGCAAACATGTTTGGTGTTCGACAAAAGGCATGTGGGAGACTCCCCAAACATATGGAAGAAGGTACTCTGGTCAGATGAGAATGAAATTAAGCTTTTTGGCCATCAAGGAAAATGCTATGTCTGGCGCAAACCCAACACCTCTCATCACCCCTAGAACACCATCCCCACAGTGAAGCATGGTGGTGGCAGCATCATGCTGTGGGGATGTGTTTCATCTGCAGGGACTGGGAAACTGGTCAGAATTGAAGGAATGATGGATGGCGCTAAATATTATACAGGGAAATTCCTGAGGGAAACCTGTTTCAGTCTTCCAGAGATTTGAGACTGGGACGGGGGTTCACCTTCCAGCAGGACAATGACCCTAAGCATACTGCTAAAGCAACACTCTAGTGGTTTAAGGGGAAACATTTAAATGTCTTGGAATGGCCTAGTCAAAGCCCAGACCTCAATCCAATTGAGAATCTGTGGAATGATTTAAAGATTGCTGTACACCAGCAGAACCCATCCAACTTGAAGGAGCTGGAGCAGTATTGCCTTGAAGAATGGGCAAAAATCCCAGTGGCTAGATGTGCCAAGCTTATAGAGACATACCCCAAGAGACTTGCAGCTGTAATTGCTGCAAAAGGTGGCTCTACAAAGTATTGACTTTGAGGTGGTGAATAGTTATGCACGCTCAAGTTTCCTGTTTATTTGTCTTATTTCTTGTTTGTTTCACAATTTTATTTTATTTTATCTTCAAAGTGTTAGGCATGTTGTGTAAATCAAATGATACCAACCCCCAAAAAATCAATTTTAATTCCAGGTTGTAAGGCAACAAAATAGGAAAAATGCCAAGGGGGGTTGAATACTTTCGCAAGCCACTGTAGATAGATTGTTTCCTGTTAGTTAGTTACCTTCCAGCTCGTCATCGGGCCACCAGCCCAGGTCACAGGCCTGACAGGTGAACTCATCCCGGACGATCTCATTGTCCTTACAGGTAGTGCAGATCCAGCAGCAGCTCACCTCGCCCTTCCTGATAACCTGATCACACAGAGGTCAGGGGTCAACTCCAGAAGTCACAAGCTTACAGTCAAAACAATAACAATACCCAAACCACAACAAACCACAACCCCCACACCCACACAGTACCAACTCCAATTTTTATTTTTATTTTATTTTATTTCACCTTTATTTAACCAGGTAAACCAGTTGAGAACAAGTTCTCATTTACAACTGCGACCTGGCCAAGATAAAGCAAAGCAGTGCGATAAAAACAACAACACAGAGTTACATATGGGGTTAAAACAAAACAAAGTCAAAAATACAACAGAAATACATATAATATACAGTGTGTGCAAATTTAGCAAGTTATGGAGGTAAGGCAATAAAATAGGCTATAGTGCAAAATAATTACAATTAGTATTAACACTGGAATGATAGATGTGCAAGAGATGATGTGCAAATAGAGATACTGGGGTACAAATGAGCAAAATAAATAACAATATAGGGATGAGGTAGTTGGGCGGGCTAATTTCAGATGGGCTGTGTACAGGTGCAGTGATCGGTAAGGTGCTCTGACAACTGATGCTTAAAGTTAGTGAGGGAGATAAGTGTCTCCAGCTTCAGAGATTTTTGCAATTTGTTCCAGTCATTGGCAGCAGAGAACTGGAAGGAATTGCGGCCAAAGGAGGTGTTGGCTTTGGGGATGACCAGTGAGATATACCCGCTGGAGCGCAGACTACGGGTGGGTGTTGCTATGGTGACCAATGAGCTAAGATAAGGCGGGGATTTGCCTAGCAGTGATTTATAGATGGCCTGGAGCCAGTGGGTTTGGCGACGAATATGTAGTGAGGACCAGCCAACAAGAGCGTACAGGTCACAGTGGTGGGTATTATATGGGGCTTTGGAGACAAAACGGATGGCACTGTGATAGACTACATCCAATTTGCTGAGTAGAGTGTTGGAGGCTATTTTGTAAATGACATCGCCGAAGTCAAGGATCGGTAGGATAGTCAGTTTTACGAGGGCATGTTTGGCAGCATGAGTGAAGGAGGCTTTGTTGCGAAATAGGAAACCGATTCTAGATTTAACTTTGGATTGGAGATTCTTAATGTGAGTCTGGAAGGAGAGTTTACAGTCTAACCAGACACCTAGATATTTGTAGTTGTCCACATACTCTAGGTCAGACCCGTCGAGAGTAGTGATTCTAGTTGGGTGGGCGGGTGCAAGCAGCGTTCGGTTGAAGAGCATGCATTTAGTTTTACTAGTGTTTAAGAGCAGTTGGAGGCTACTGAAGGAGTGTTGTATGGAATTGAAGCTCGTTTGGAGGTTTGTTAACACAGTGTCCAATGAAGGGCCAGATGTATACAAAATGGTGTCGTCTGCGTAGAGGTGGATCTGAGAGTCACCAGCAGCAAGAGCGACGTCATTGATATACACAGAGAAAAGAGTCGGCCCAAGAATTGAACCCTGTGGCACCCCCATAGAGACTGCCATAGGTCCAGACAACAGGCCCTCCGATTTGACACATTGAACTCTATCTGAGAAGTAGTTGGTGAACCAGGCGAGGCAGTCATTTGAGAAACCAAGGCTATTTAGTCTGCCAATAAGAATGCGGTGGTTGACAGAGTCGAAAGCCTTGGCCAGGTCAATGAAAACGGCTGCACAGTACTGTCTATTATCGATCGCGGTTATAATATCGTTTAGGACCTTGAGCGTGGCTGAAGTGCACCCATGACCAGCTCGGAAACCGGATTGCATAGCGGAGAAGGTACGGTGGGATTCGAAATGGTCGGTGATCTGTTTGTTGACTTGGCTTTCAAAAACTTTTGAAAGGCAGGGCAGGATGGATATGGGTCTGTAACAGTTTGGATCTAAAGTGTCACCCCCTTTGAAGAGGGGGATGACCGCGGCAGCTTTCCAATCTCTGGGGATCTCAGACGTTACGAAAGAGAGGTTGAACAGGCTAGTAATAGGGGTTGCGACAATTTCGGCGGCTAGTTTTAGAAAGAAAGGGTCCAGATTGTCTAGCCCAGATGATTTGTAGGGGTCCAGATTTTGCAGCTCTTTTAGAACATCAGCTGTCTGGATTTGTGTGAAGGAGAAGCGGGGGGGGCATGGGCAAGTTGCAGCGGAGGGTGCAGAGCTGGTGGCCGGGGTAGTGGTAGCCAGGTGGAAAGCATGGCCAGCCGTAGCAAAATGCTTGTTGAAATTCTCGATTATTGTAGATTTATCGGTGGTGATTGTGTTTCCTAGCCTCAGTGCAGTGGGCAGCTGGGAGGAAGTGCTCTTATTTTCCATGGACTTTACAGTGTCCCAAAACAATCAGATATAAAGACAGGTATTAGCGTCTAATATGGCTTTGATGGTGCATTTTTAGGCCCTTTGCTCCACCCCGAGCTAAAACAAATAAGTCAATTCAGGTGCATATTATAAAAACCTATATGATGTAACAGTTTTCCCTTAGTCGCACACAAATGATATTCCAAAAGACAAGCTCAGTTGCATTTACATGATCCTGTTCCTAAAGTGGATGTTCTCAGAGCTGTGATATGTAAAACAAGGTGATGCACAGCACAGGGCAGTAAACAAAGTGTTAGCAGGCCCAGGTAAAGCAGACAGGAGAGTGTGCATGCACCCTATGGGGGGCGTATAGCCAGGCTGAATAATACTGGCCCTGGTTGGAGAGACTCAAGGTGTTTCCTCAAGATCCTGAAGGCTACACAACATTGTGTTAATACACAATTAAAATCATTCCTTTTCAACCAGGGACAGAATCTGCACATCAATTCCTAGGCTAGGGATCAATTTACAGAGCTAACTTAGTTCAAATCAAATTAAACAAAAGCGTCAGAGCCAGGTTGTGTCTGTACCTTGATCTGTCCCCTGGAGCAGGGCTCGCTGCAGACGGAGCGGACCATGTCGCTGTTGTTCATCCACAGCTTCCAGTCATCGATGTTCAGGATGCCCTCGTGCCACGAGCCCACCTGCTGGTAGTCATAGCTACCGTCACCCACACTCTGCAGGTTCATGATGTCATACCTGAGAGGGGGAGAGGAGATAGGGTGAAGGGGTGAGAGACCGTTAAAGAGATTGGTGGGAGATGGATGGAGGGGGTGAAAGAGGGGGAGAGGCACAGAGCGAGATTATGAGAGAGAGAGTGAGAGAGCAAGAGAAAAACAGAGCAAGGGAGAGAAATGGAGATACAGAGAGAAATGGAGAAAGGAAAAGGAAAGAAGAAGCAGGTGATTTAATTATAACAAGTCCCTTGCTTAGAGCAGACTCCTTTGTCCAAAATCACTTTAACATCTTACATTCTATATAGTTAAACGTTTTTCAGGTAAAGCTACTTACCAGGGCACAGAACATCCGCTTTGGGCTTTGAACCCAGATCTATTGTGATTATGGTACCATGTCTGAGTACTAGCCCTGACATCTGGCTGAAATACAGGGTTGTGACTGGGGCTGTTTTTCACCTGTCTGTCAGGGACTGATTTGATTTGATTTTGATTTGATTTGTGACACTGAGAGAACTGACTGCAAATACTGTAAGTAGAAATGACTGCTGCAGCACATGGATACATTGAATCTGGTCCCCCCCCCCCCCCTCCCATCCATCCCCATCTCCCTCCTCACCTGCCAGGAGTGTCCCCGTTCTCGTCGAAGTACACATCCTCCCCTGACACCCCTCTGAAGGTGGTCTTGAGCAGGTACTCCAGCAGCTTGCTGCCGTCAATGGGGTCCATGGCCTCACACAGGCCTGGCTGGCCAGGGCACAGCTCACTGTGCATGTCATGGAGGCCGTGGGCCATGGCATAGATAGCATTGATGACGAATCCCATCTTACTGTCCTGGACGTAGTTCTCATGAAGACTCTCATTGCCTGGGGATTAGTGGGAAATTACCAGAATGTCAAAATGGGGGTTTGGGATTGGTTGATGTTGTTTTTCTAAGGACTGTGGCCATTTTGTTTGTTTGTGCTGGATTTACAGTGTCGTATCAATGTGTAAATGTAGGAAAACATAATATTGTACGGCAAAAGAATTGTACAACTTCCTTCTCACTCAACCCATAAACAACTGAGTTTGGAATTATAATTGAATCAAAAAAATACAACAAAACATCTCTCTCTTTTGCAGCACAATATAATTGGCACACACTATACAGTAGATCATAATAAGGTGTCCAGAGGCTTATTCATGTTTTCCCCAAAGGATACAGAACATGGAGAAATCTTGAGGGAGCAACAATAAAGTCTGTGGACACCATAGTGAGTAACGAGCATTTTTGGTCAGCCAGCTGAAAGCATTGTCAGGCACAGGGCAACCATAGCACTAATAGTGACATTTTTTAAAAGAGATATTCATTCACCCTTCTATGAGGTGAGGTGCCACTCCATATTTGTTTTCTTCTTATAACTGCTTAAATCTCATCACTTTTCTCTCCATCTTTTCCCATTGTTTCTCAATACATTTAGAAAATGGCCGTCGTTTGCCTGTGGTGATCATGCAGAGAGGCAGCAGAGGGGATAATCTATATAGAACACATCTCTCTCATACAGTGGTGTTCTAACGAAAGGGGTTGTGAACAGTGTGTTTCAGTGACTCATTCTTCCTTGTTCTCTCTCCACATTGCAGTACCTTTTAAAAAAACAACCCAAGAGTTTATGCATTAGAGTTTGACTGATTTGACCCTACCCCAGGCTTTCTCTGAACACAGCAGCCAATTTGGAGCTTTCTATTTATTTCACTGGTCTAGAGGTAGTACAGGCCAACATAATTCTCAGCGCTAGCACCAGTCAAACTCTACAAGTCTTGCCAAAGTGAAGTGCTTATACAGTACAGTGCAGGTGCAGGTAAAGTCATCATCTCTTTAATCTTGAAATATACACTTACCACCTTGGAGATCTTTAGGAAGAGAAAATAACATAAGACATACAGCAAACTATAGCTACAGTACACTGCTCTGCAATTTTGTCATGTTTTGAATGCTTAGATCATGCTTGGTTTACTTAAGTCTTAAGAGAGTCGGGTATTACACAGTAGTACATGTGTAATACCTTCATGTTGAGGTGAATACACTCACAATAGCATCAATACTTAAAATTGCTTTTCTAACAAAATGTTTGAACGCATACTTATCAAGCATAATTTCATGTGTTAACTGTAATCACTATGTCAATCATTGTGATTTGTTGTGAATAATATCCATAATAAATCTGTTAGTGATTTTGGTGGGGCAACAACTCAATTTACCTAGATCACCTTTTGTTCGTAAGCAGAGAGAGTATTTGGAGAGGAAAAAAGGGAGACAATACATTATCATACAATTGCTAACCTATGTTCAAAACATTAACACGAACTATTCATTTGTCCTCAGCCTAACTCATCATGCATTGACATTGCAATAGAAAATACTGTATGACCTTTATCTGACGATTCTATATATTTTTTCGTCCCATTGCTTTTGTTGATTAAAATATGCATTTCCTTCCTCCTCCCAACCTAACCCCTGCTCAGTCCTCATGACTCTGAGTAGCCTAATGTCGTTTCTTAGTGGTTCTCACCGGAGCAGACTTTCTTGTATTTCTTAATCTCCTGTGGATGTCCGGCCAGCCGGCACTGGAAGCGGTACTGCCAGAACTCTGGGAACCATGGGTTCCGTGTGTTGGTGTCCAAACGCAGCTTCAGGAAGTAGTCATCAAATGACTTCACTTCCTCTGACTGCAGCTTCATGGTGATCCCACCTTCTGCTTCCTGTTCGTACCCTTCCACCACCTCATCTCGATCTGCCCATCCATCACTGGGGAGAGAGAGAGAGAGAGAGAGAGAGAGAGAGAGAGAGAGAGAGAGAGAGAGAGAGAGAGAGAGAGAGAGAGAGAGAGAGAATACTGAGCACACAGATAATGAACTTTACATCCGGCAAAGCACTGTATTTGGATTGTGAGAGGGATCAAAGCTTATGTAAGACAATAAAAGGGACATCAGGCACTTTTTGGTAAACACCCCATTTCACTTAACTCCCAATTAAACTTTAATCAAACATGGTTAACTAATTAATTATGAAGAAAAGCTTTATATAGTATAATAAATGTTTCAAGCTATTTCATAGTTTAATCAGGGCCCTGGTGCACACACTGCACAGTCAGTTCAATATGTTGGAGAGGGAAGAGCAAGTTCATTCTGCATAAAAAAAACTTTAATTACAATGGAAAAACAATAAAATATAATTGTCTGTGTTACATTTCCCCATTAACTCATGAGCAGGAGTTCAGGCATTTATCCAGTGACACTTGGGCGTTCTGCTAGCCGTAGGAATAAATGGAACGGAGTCAAAAATGTGGTTTCCATATGTTTGATACCATTCCATTTATTCCATTCCAACCACTACAATGAGCCTGTCCTCCTATAGCTCCTCCCACCAGCCTCCACTGGTGTGGATAATATCAAAGACAGGACAAAAATGGCTTCCATCTTAATTTTCAGCTCTACTTACAGTCCACCAATCGCCTTGTTTGTTTGTTTTCTTCCCCTCTGTGTCAGAATCCCCATTAAACTAAGCTCATTTAGACATGCATTTGAAGCCTGGAGAGCCTTAGAAGGATGGACAAAAAAGACTAGGGACAGAGACAAAGAAAATAAATGAGTAGATATACAGAGCTTCTCTAAGCTGTGCTCTTCTCTTCTCTGGATGCAGCAGCCTTGAATACCTGTACAGTTGACAGCTACCCTCCAATTAGACAGTAAGTGAGCCAGCAGCCAATTACCACACACAGAAGGGATATTCTGACAGACAAGAGCATATGTGAGTGTGTATGTGAGGAGTGTGTGCAACCTGGTCTCAGAGCATTTCATATTATTATGTAAGTAAATCCGAGACACTCCATTTAGTATGATAAGTTACGTTTCGCCTGGAATGTATTAAGTTGTGGATTTCCATCACCCATTTCATATGATATGTTACGAATTTGCACATGTAAAAATATAAGAATTTGCAAACTGTACAATATGTTATGAATTTGTAAAACGTACAATATGTTGCGAATTCTAGCTAGGTGGGTAGGGGGCTAACGTTAGCTAGCTGGAAAATGTCAGCTAGGCTAGGGGTTAGGGTTAAGTTTAGGAGTTAGGTTAAAGGGTTAAGGTTAGGGTTAGAGTTAGGGGAAGGGTTAGCTAGCATGCTAAGTAGTTGCAAAGTAGCTAAAAAAAGTAGTAAGTAGTTATAATTCTAAAGTTGTCCCTGATGAGATTCAAACTTGCAACCTTTGGGTTGCTACACTCTAAAAAGAAAAGGTTCCTGGAGTATCCTTTACGGGTTCTTCAAATTGAAACTGTGGGGGAACCCCTATAAGTTATTCTGGGGTTAATTTTTGAACTATCCCCCTCCCCTATTATTATTATTAATAATAATATTACGCATAACAATAACACAATATTTTAGTGGCAAAGCAGAATAAAAAAAATCCAAATATGAGGTAAACTCCCAGCAGAGCCCCAAATCCAATGGGTATATCATCTGGCGTGTTGATGCTAATGTGTTGATGTTCTCCGTATCCATATCCAGAATGATTTTGCAGTGCATGGTGATTGAACAGGTTTCTTGTTATATTCATCAGAGGTGTAGGGAGGGTAGTCTGTGAATCCAAAAAATAGTAATTATACAGATGATTAACAAAACATGCACACGGCAGTATTCATACCTTGGTATTTGTGGTAAATGTGAATGAAAAAAAACAGTTTTGATAATGGTTTTCATACACATACCTTGTCCATAATGTAGAGGCCAATGGGATATTCATTGAAGAGGTAAGGGAAGAGGATGGTAAATCTGGTCTGCATAACATACCAATACCAATTGACATAACTTTATATGCCTCCTTGTCTGTATACCTGCAGACACAGACACATCAATGAGCAGTTCAGTCATCTGCACCCAATACAGCTAGCCTTCAACATATTCTTATAGCCTACATATTCTTACCTCTTTGTTGATTGTTATCCATTGAATTGTCCATTTTCTGTTTGAGTGTGATGGAAAGGAGTCAGGCGCAGGAGGGTAATCACCGAATACAGAGTTTATTGCTTCGTAGACACACAAATGCGGTCAAATAGCGATCAATGAAACAGGCACAGGGGAAACTATCATCCCTGGCAAAGACACTGTAATGGATATCCAACAATACATAGGCACAGGGGGAAATCTACCCTGGCAACAATATGTTACAGGTAGCTCCACCGAGCTACACTACTCTAACAAATAACAATCACCCACAAGGACAAGGGGGCAGAGGGAACACTTATATACAGACTAATTAGGGGAAAGGAACCAGGTGTGTGTGATTGACAAGACAAGACAATTGTGATGATGATTGGGGCGGCAGTGGTTAGTAAGCCGGTGACGACGAACGCCGAAGCCTGCCCGAACAAGGAGGGGAGGAGCAGGGCGAGCCGGATGGCAACGGTAGAAATCCTGCAACAGGGAGGGATCGAGGATATCCCTCACCGGGACCCAGCACCGTTCCTCCGGACCGTACCCTTCCCACTCCACGAGGTACTGAAGGCCCCCCATCCGAAGCCTCAAATCCAGGATGGAATGGACAGAGTACACCGGGGCCCCCTCGATGTCCAGAGGAGGTGGAGGAACCTCCCGCACCTCAGACTCCTGGAGCGGACCAACCACCACCGGCCTGAGAAGAGACACATGAAACGAGGGGTTAATACGGTAATCAGGGGGAAGTAATAACCTATACGTGACCTCGTTGATTCTCCTCAGAACTTTGAACGTCCCCACAAACCGCGGGCTCAGCTGGTAGGCGGAGGAGCAGATTCCAGGTCGAGAGCCAGACCCGATCCCCCGGTACGAAGACCGGGGCCTCACTGCGGTGACGGTCAGCGTTGGCCTTCTGACGATGCACGGCGTGCTGGAGGTGAACGTGGGCAGCGTCCCACGTCTCCTCCGCGCGCCGAAACCAGTCATCCACCGCAGGAGCCTCGGTCTGGCTCTGGTGCCACGGTGCCAGAACCAGTTGGTAACCTAAAACACATTGGAATGGTGTTAGGATAGTAGAGGAGTGGCAGAGAGAGCTCTGGGCATATTCTGCCCAAGGCAAGAACACTGACCACTCCCCTGGCCGGTCCTGGCAGTAGGACCGCAGGAACCTACCCACATCCTGATTTAACCGTTCCACCTGCCCATTTGACTTGGGGTGGAACCCAGAGGTCAGGCTGACCGAGACCCCCAGACATGCCATGAACGCCTTCCAAACCTTGGACGTGAACTGGGGACCTCGGTCGGACAATATATCCTCTTGCACCCCTTAGTGCCAGAAGACGTGAGTAAACAGGGCCTCCGCAGTCTGCAGGGCCGTGGGGAGACCGGGCAGAGGAAGGAGGCTGCAGGACTTGGAGAAGCTGTCCACAATGACCAGGATGGTGGTGTTACCTTGGGAGAGGGGAAGATCAGTCAAAAAATCAATACTAAGGTGAGACCATGGTCGTTGTGGAACTGGTAAAGGTTGGGCTGCGGTACGTGGTACGCAGCTGGGCTGCGGTACGTGCCTGCTCTTATCCATGATTGTCTGATCTTCTGGGCAAACACGTCACCCTCCTCTGGAGCAGGCACGTACCGCAGCCCAGCTGGACACTGCGGTGGAGATGGATCTGTGCGTAATGCCTTCTCTATATCCGCGTCCATCGCCCATACTACCGGCGCCACAATGCAGGAGGCCGGAAGTATGGGGGTGTTGTCCCTGGGCCTCTCCTCTGTGTCATACAGCCGGGACAGTGTGTCTGCCTTCACGTTCTTCATACCCGGAATGTATGACAGTGTAAAATCAAACCGGATGAAGAATAGGGCCCGAATGTACTCCAGGTTACGGTGGTCCATCCAGACGAGAAAAGGGTGTTTCGCCCCTTCGAGCCAATGTTTCCACATGGTCAAAGCTTGGACAACAGCCAACAGCTGCCGATCACCAACGTCGTAGTTCTACTCCTCCGGGCTGAGCTTCTTAGAGAAGAAGGCACAGGGGCGGAGTTTGGGTGGCATGCCCAAGCGTTGGGACAGGACAGTACCTATCCCTACCTCGGACGCATCCACCTCCACTATGAACGGTAGTGATGGATCGGGGTGGGCCAGTACCGGAGCTGAGGTGAACAGACCCCACAGTCTCCTGAAGGCCAGGTCAGCCTCAGCAGACCAGCGGAGCCGGGACGGCCCACCCTTCAACAGGGATGTAATGATGCTGCAACCTTGCCAAAGCCCCGGATAAACCTCCGATAGTAGTTGGCTAAGCCAAGGAAGCGCTGCACCTCCTTAACTGTGGTTGGAGTCGGCCAATTACTCACGGCTGAAATGCGATCTCCTACCATCTCTAAACCTGAGGTGGTAATGCGGTATCCGAGGAAGGAGACGGACTGCTGGTAAAACTTCTCTGCATTTTCCAACAGTCGGGCAAGCACTTTGCGAACCAGGGACACATACTCGGCACGAGTAGCGGAATACACCAGGATGTCATCGATGTAGACCACCACACCGCGACCAAGCATGTCCCAAAACACCTCGTTCACAAAGGACTGGAAGACGGATGGAACATTCATCAAACCGTAGGGCATCACCAGGTATTCATAATGCCCTGTGGTTGTGCTGAATGCTGTCTTCCACTCATCCCCCTCCCGAACACGTACCAGGTTGTATGCACTCCTGAGATCTAGCTTAGTGAAGAAGCGGGCACCATGCATTGACTCAATCACTGAAGGAATGAGGGGGAGAGGATAACTAAATCTAATCGTCTCCTTGTTCAGTG